TTTTTTTTTTTTTTTTTTTTTTACCTTCATGATGATTTCTTTTTCTGAACAGTAATGAAGGTAATTATTATTTTTTAAATGTCCAAAATAAAGTCAACTCATATTCTATCTTTATGTTTGGAATATTTAAAAAAAGAAAAGAATAACCTTAATTTTTACAAAAATAATAATAATAATAATAATAATAATAATAAAATAAAATGTAATTGAATCGTTTACTACATTATGCTTTGATTATCTCGTAAAAATTAAAATAGGTGAAATTTTCATCAAAATTTTGATCTCAACGTCTAAAAAAACGTGTACAGTAGACAATTCAACGATAGCTGCACCAACTAGAAAATTTTAAATATTCGACAAATTTCCAACTCTAAATATCGATAATTGGAATGTCTTACGATACAACCGGACCATCGGGTACGCTAATTAAAAGGGGTAGGTAGAGACTTGGTGTTAGTTTATGACTTAAAGGGAAAATAAATAATAAACGATCGAGACTAAACAACTAAGATTAAATGGGAATAAGGGTTTGTTGGTTGGTGCTACTACATAATTAAATATGTTTTTTTTTTTTTTTTTTTTTGTAACATGGTTCGATTTGAATTTAATATTGATTAGTTTTGGTGGGTGAGATGAGAGCGGAAACCAAAATTAATGTTATCGCTGGCACACCGTCAGGTGACTGGCTATGATACCAGTTGTAACAGCCTGCTAGCCGATATTGTATGCTTTGGCTCGTGAGAAGTTTCCACACCGTTTTGTATGTGGGATCTTATAATCCATCCCTTTGGGTGCCCAATGTCCTTGCTGGCACACCACCACGTAACTGGCTCTAATACCATTTGTAACCACACAAGCCTACCGCTAGCTGATATTGTCTGATTTGGCCCGTTGCATATCGCCGTCAACCTCACGGTTTTAAAACGCGTCTACAAGAGAGAGGTTTTCACGCTTTTATAATAAATGTTTTGTTCCCTTCTCGTTTTCAGAGAGGTTTACACACCCTTATAAATGATTTTTGTTACGTACATGGGTCGGGTTGAAATTTTTTTATATGATTTTCTGGAGGGAGTGGTCGTGAGTACGTAATTTATGACAATTATCTTTATTGATATGAAACATTTCGAGAGAACCAAAATTAACGTCACGAATTATTATACCCAAAGTGGACAATACGATATTGTTCGGTTTCGTTGTCTCTATCGTACATTGGTTTGATGACCAAGTCTAACCTTTATATTATATCAATCTTTTGTGTTAGAGCCCAAGCTCACCGTTAGCAGATATTGTCCGTTTTTGCCTGTTGTGTACCGCTATCAGCTTAACAGTTTTAAAATACGTCTATTAAGGAGAGGTTTCCATACCCTTGTAAGGAATGCTTCGTTTCCCTCTGAAACCGATCTGATACTATTTTTAATAGCCCAAACCCACACCGTTTTCTAGTAATTCGTTTCCCTCTCCAACCTCAGTTTGTCGATTTCGTTTTCCTCGATTAAACCGTGTAAGGTTCATCCTATCGCTTTATCTTTATCGAACCTCGTCATCATAATGTTATTACTTAGTCGGCCTCGACTTGAACTATTATCTATAGCACAAATTTGACTTACTGATCCCGAATGTCACACTTTTTTTCTTTTGAATTTTTCTAGTTAGCTTCCCTCCAAGAATAAACTTTTCTCGAGCTCCGCTATCTCTTTCCCTACTCCCGTTGGGTATGCAAATCTATCTATCAACTCCGGGTAATTTTAACATTTAAAAAAAAATATATTATTTTTTTAAAAAATAGAGAATTTTAAATCCATAATCTATTAAAGTTAAAATTTTAATAATTTAGAAATTAGAAAATATGTAAAACTAACTCTAAATATAGTTTTAATTAGTTGAGAAATTATACATTCAAACTTTAATTAAATTATTAAAAAAAATTTAGAGATTGTAAATTAAATTTATAATTTAATGTTTTCTTTAAATAGAATTTTCTGAAAAAAAAAACATTCTGACAACTCTTTTACTTTCCCCAAGTTACCGTTGCTTGATTTATTTAATTAAAGTTAAGGTTTTAATTAATCAGTGGGCCCCACTGTATTAATTGTCATTATTCCTTAATTACAACTTCTAATCAGACAAAAGCAAAGAAAAGCAACTTTCAACCTGTCATTGACAAATATATTTAGCCAAAAAAAAATAATAAAAAAATAAAATTTAAATTAATGTCTCAAAATAAAAATAAAAATAAATTTAGAAAAAAAAAATTCATTTTATTATGATAATAATAAATAAAAATAAATTTGATAAATTTTTATATCTGATTTTGTTTTGGATATTTCACCACTATTTTTTTTAAATAATAATAATAAATAAATAACTAAATCTAAAAGTGCTTTGATAAAAATTACATTTTTTTAAAAAAAATAAACTCTAATATTATTTATTTCTAATAATTATTCAATTTCAAAAAATAAATTTTACAGCACATAAAAATTTAAAAAATTATATAATTTTAAAATAAATGTTGCAATATTTTTTTAAAAAAAAATTACAATAAAATTTGATAAAATTAGAATTTTAGCATAAAAATAGGTTGGTAAAAAAAAAAATTATTATTTCTTTTAATTTTAATTACAAAAATAGTTAATACTTTCACGACATTCACATGAAAAATACAAAGGAGAAAAAGGGAGTTTCTCGCGATTTATTGACTTGTGTATCGCGAGATGATTGTTTTTTAAAATAAAAAATAATAATTAATTAACCTATTTTTTTTCAGAGCGGTTTGAAAAAATAACAGCATCTATTTTAGTCGAGAGAATACGAAGCAGAGAGATCTGACAGTTTCTTCTCGTCTCCTG